TAATGCAGCAGCATAAGCTCGTGTAGTTTTTCTACTTCAGCGAGGTTATTTAAAAACTGAGGTACTTAAATGTGTGTACGAAATTGTGATAATCTAAAAAAGTTTCAAACAAACGCAAGCAGAAAATTTTCAACAGAACAGATGCTATATGTATTTATTAGACTTCTTAGTTGCGCTTTACAGTTCCTAAAAGAAATTTTATCTTTCCCCACTCGGATATTTGATACAAGGATTGTCTTTTATATTTAAATATTGGAGAATAAGCATAAAGATTAATCAACAATCGGGTCTCGAAAACGTTGACCTCATAGTTTATTTTTTATGTACGGTAATTAAAAGAAGTTATTAGGTGCGAAGTTAGAACTATACGGTGTACTCATAACTGTAACTTACTACATCGATGTTTTGAATGTTCATGTGTCTATGTGTGAGAGCTCGCCTTGTAGTGGTGAAGAGTAATTCGTCTTCGGCAAATGGTTTTCTTGATTTCAGGAAGGGCAACTGTCAAACAAATGGTTGTGTATTACTCCGAGTTTGCTTCAAAGTGCTTTGTGCACGAGCAACTTTTGTTTGATTCTCCTCATCGCCCACGTAGTTCACTGAAGTTTACTTTCGGATTCATTCGCATACATCCACGACTCATCATCTATCGCAATTTAATATACGTTTTTTGAAGTACAGTTATCGGATTTTTATATTTCTCTGGATCAAGGGACAAATGTCTTTTTCGACCAATTGGCAAATTAGTTTAAGATCCAACATTAACAATTGTTTCTGGAGTCAAATGTTCATGCAATATTTAATTTATGCTGGTCGCACTTATGCCTACCATGGCTTAAACCATACGATATCACTTTATGCACAGCATAAATAGTTTCCGGAACAAAAACCTTCAAAATTTCATCTCAGAGTGATCTTTGACATTGATTGAATTCACCATCAATTAATACTGGTCCTTCATGGAGTTTGTCATCAAAAATTTAATCAAGTTCATGGATGTGATGGTTCTGAGTTAATCCCCGTCGAAAGTGGTAAGAAATAATCGCGGGAAAATGTTCGCGTTTTAATTTCATTTCCTGGGCGAGATGAATATTTTAAGTCACTGAAAATTCCACACTTTATGATCAAGTTGTGAGTTGCCAGATTGCTGCACCAGGTTTGCCAAATCTCGAAATATAAAGAATAACCAATGTCGTTATATTTCATCAGAGAGTCGGGAAAAACCATAATTTAACCCAGATTTGAAAGAAAACCAAAACAAAGCATAAATAGATATAATAAAAATATTGACTAATAGTCTATTATAAAAGTTAAAATAGTAAATCTTTCAAAACATCCA